GAACGCGTACTCTTTTCTACGTGCAATGGAATTTCTTATTGGGGTAATTACATTCGGGTCCCCCAAACTATTTGCACGGTTGACATCGAATACGGGTGAGATCTTCATACTGCTTATCGCAATTGCACGGAGGATCCTAGAATCGATCGGCAAGTTAAGGCTATTTGTTTTGAGTAGTGATAACTAGGCTATAATTTCCAAACCACTTCTACGCTACTGCGCTCGAAGATTATGAGGTCTGTAGGCGTCTAAAAATGCTTATAGATATCCAAATAAAGCTCAAGACAATAAGAAGACAATGAAAGTCATTATCTACATCATAAGGGATCATCCAAAGCCAAAAGAAGCAAAGGAAGTGAAGGAACAGGTGAAACCATATAAAAGAACAACGTGAAAAGTTGATAAACAACGTATACTGACGTGCATAAGGCGCGGCAGTCACCACTTACGCGCATAGGCACGGCAGTTATCTTCTGACGCGCGCAGAGGCGTGGCTGACAATTTTGGGGCCCGGTTCTAAATTTCAATCGGGACCTCTTAATCAATCTAATGAGCAAAATCCACCAGAAAGTCTCAAATCCTAACCAAATATTATTCAAGTTTCAGACAAACTCAACGCTCTACTAGAATAATCCAATCAAGCATACTAAAAGATGCCAATATACGAACCAAGAACAAGGCAACAACTATTAGTTTATACTTAAATCACAATTTGTCACCTACTTCTCAACCATACAGTTAATAAACATACTAAATCATCAAATATAAGCTAGAAAAATATATAAATTAGGCAAAAAAACAATGAGCTTAGAACTAAAATCAACAAACCCAAAAAAACCAACACAAACAAATAAGCTTAATCCAAACTCATGTAACTACTAAAAAAATCACTTTTCTGATATAAAAATCGAAACTTTACCCCTTTGGTCGATGCGTTCCTGTGCTTTTTGGGCTTCTTGATGCCGTTCTTGTGGGCCTTATAGGACTGGTTGTGGTTCTTCGACTTCGCCATTGAAACCCTAGTAAAGGAAGAAGAAGATTAGAGATCGAAGAAAGAGGAAATGATCTAGGATTAGGGTTTTTTAGAGAGAGATACCTAAGATGGAGGAGATCTGAGTGTTCCTCGGCGACGGAGATGGTCTTGCGCGATTTGGGGGCCCCCCAAGTGGGGCCCTGTTCTGCGGAACCGGAGGAACCGCCTCAGCGGCGCCTCTGGACGCGCGTATGCACAGCAGTGATTCCTGACGCGCGTATGCGCGACAGTGACTCTTGACGCGCGTAAGCGCGACAGTGGAATGTGACGCGCGTATTCATGAGTTGTCCTTTTGAGGTTTGCTGACATTTTTTAGCATCTTATGAGAGTCCACGTGGCATCATACCAAAAGGAGAACGTGTACTGACGTAGAAGGATGGTTACAGGTCGAGAAAAGTGGCATTTCGTGGACCTGAAGTCGTGGGAGAACGATTACAAAAGTGGTTGAACGTGGCTGAAACTGCTTCTTCAGCCGCACTAGCCTACACTGACGCGCTAAAGGCCGCGGCAGTGACGGCTGACGCGCCCAAAGAAAGTGTATCTGGTCAGTTATTTCACGTCTGTTTCCACAGTTATAGACTCCTATCCCTATAAATACCTCCCTACACACGAGACCAAACACAGAGAGCATATTAGAGTAGAGAGACTTGAGCTTTTGGTGAATTTGAGCAAGAGAGAGAGTCCTCATTCCTCACAAACATTTTCAAGAAACTTTTGGTGATTCCTAGAGGTCTAAGCTCTGACTTGATCTTTGGAAGAGTGAGCATCTTACATCGATAAGATATTCATTTAATATTCTTACTTCGATAAACGAAGAAGAATACCCGAAAACCTTCACGATTCAATCAGAATCTTGTGAATCGGTGGTCCACGGGCTAACACACCCCCGACACAGGCCAAGTTCCCACAAAAGCAAGAGTTGATAAACGATTTCTGTGTTATTTTCTAGGGAGTTGTAATTTTCTTCTTATTGTATAAGAGAGGTCTTATAAAAAAGCTATTTTCTTTTGAATTCAAAGGTAGGTATTTTGTAAAAAAAAACTAAAAACTCTAATATTTCCCCAATGTCAATTTACTTTGTTTTTTTATCTCAGCGTGCTCGAAAACTGCCACAGAAACATTCCTATGAAAATTTGTTTTTATATACATATGAAGATCAAGAGCGTGATGAGACGTGGAATATAATGTAATTAGCAGAAATAAAGCTTAGAGCTAAAAAAGCTTTGAAAAGTTAGAGACAAAACGGCTCTAACTATTTGTTTTAAAACTCGGACACTAAATGGCTCCGCTTCTGTCCATCAAAATACAAAACATGCTATAAACTTGAATAATATGTACCGTAGATACGCACACGCGCACAGTAACGGACGTGCCCATGCGGTCGGCGTGACTCCCATCCAGCTTGCTTGATTTTGATTCGCTTACTCACGGGTTTCGGGTCACTTGGACCCGGGATCCAATCGGGTAAAAATCCGGACCCGGACCCATTCACTTCTACCCGTATTCGATCGGGGATCAAGACTTCCGACTAGGGTTTCAGATCCCATTTCCTCCAGCGATCTTTCTCGTACATTCTCGACGTTAATCCCCAAATCAGGTACGATCACCTCCCAATTTCCTATCGCAATCACATTTCACGCTGAATTTGTAGGGGTACTAGTTTTCGTATAGATTGCTTTCTATAGAAATCTTAATACTTTGTTTAAATTTGGAATTTTTTTAGGGTGAAAAATGGCGAGCACAGCGTGC